AGTTTGGGTTTATCCTGAATAAAGAAAGTCATCGAGAAGCACAAAAGTCCAGGAGTAGGAGGCACTGTTTAATATGGAGAATTGTGGATGTTTGGTTGAATGCTGTAAAGGTTGTAATTGTTGCTTAGCCAAGAACACTATTATTAAAGACCAAGAGAAAAAGATAAATGAGTTAGAAAGAAAAACATTGGAATTATTGTCTCGTAATATGGTTATCCATGAGGGTAATGCCATTCGTTTAACCCAAACCAGCCAAGACCAAGCCCGAGAAATAGAAAGGTTAAGGTTAGACAACAATCGTTTAAGACAAAATAGGGATTACTATCGAACTAAAAGGGACGAGATTAAAAGTGAAAAAGATGAGGTGGAAACTGGGGTAAATGAGCTAATGGAGATTTTAAATAATCTAAAAGAACAAGTAGCACGATTAAAACAAGAGAACCAACAATTAAAAAATAAAACGGAAAACTTAATGGCAGTTGTCAGGCAGGAATAAAAACTAATATATTACGCAAACATTATTATTCTGGGACTGGGTTTAAGCAACCCTAAGGGTTTAGCACAACTTTTTTTGTTCATGTCGTTTGACTGTCATCCAATCCGAGAATTGAATAATAGAAAATTGTAAAAATAGATGTATGTTCAACATACCATGACCTTTTTATGAAACGAACATTTAAATACTATCTAAAACTAACTGACAACCAAAAACAGAAGTTAGATAAAACCCTAGAACTTTGTTGTTGACTTCATAATTACCTATTGGGACAATTTAGAGAAAGAGACCAAAAGAGAGAAAAACAACCCACAGAATATCAGTTGATTAACTCCTTACCTCAAATTAAGAAAGAACACGAGTTTCTTAAAGAAGTTCATTCAACTAATCTCCAAGAAGTAGCTAAACAAGTTTACAAAACTTGACAAGATTATAAGAAACTAAAAGCATTAAATCCCAAAAAGAAATACCCTAACTTTAAACCTCATCATCGTTATCATTCACTTACTTACTCTCAACCAATAGACCATATTAGAGGTTGTGGTTATAAACTAAATAACTCTCTTTTGAACAAAAAGAAAGAGGTTAGGAAATTAAAACTAGCTTTGGGTCAACAAAATCATCACAATGTTTATTTAGAAATGAAATTAACCATGGAGAGAAACTTCGAAGGCAATGCTAAAACATTAGCCGTCAAAAGAAAGAATGACAGATATTATGCCCTATTCATTTGTGATAACATTCCCTTGAAGCAATTGCCAAAGACTAATCAAAATATAGGAATAGATGTAAATTTAAATAAGAAATCATTCATAACTTTATCTAATGGCAAGAAATATAAACATCCACAACATTATAAAAGATTTGAAAGACGAATAAAAGAAGCAGATAGAAATTTAAGCAATAAAATCCAAGGTAGTCAAAACTGAAAGGATGCTAAGCTTCAACTGGCTAGAAAGTGAGAAAAGGTAGTTAATCAGTCTAAACATTATTCGAGACAAGTAGCCAATGAATTAGTAAAAGATTACGATAATATTGTTATTGAGGATTTAAAAATAACTAATATGATTAAGAAATGTAATTTAGCAAAAAGTATCCAACAAGCAAGGTGGGGTGTTTTATTTAAAGCCATCTCCGACAAAACTGAAATCGTTGGTCGGAGACTAGTTAAAGTAAGTCCCTACAACACCACTCAAACTTGCTCTGATTGTGGAGAAATAGTCATAAACAAGGTTAAACTCAATCAAAGAATGTTTAAGTGTTTTAGTTGTCGGTTTGAACTAGACAGAGATATTAATTCTGCTCGTAATGTTTTAAACAGAGCAAAATATGAATTCGACCAGAGTTCTCCACCTCAAAGTGGAAATTATTTAATAAAATAATGGTATGTTCAATAAGTATAAATTATTAAAAGGTTTCGTAATGGCATTAAGTTGTTTATCCTCAGTGAGCCAAGTAGAAACAAAGTTTGAAAAAAGTTATGGAGTAAGACCAAGTTATTTCATTCCCAATCCAGCTGTTCAAGAAGTTTGTCGAACTTCTCAACTAGCTGACCGAATTCAATATGAAACGATACAAGCTGGTAATGACCTTTGACAATGGGAATTAAAACACAGCCCTAGCCAAGAAATGTGCTTTGTGGAGGACATGACTGATTTGGTTCAAGTAGATTATGCTTATGACACAAAACCTCTTTCTTATTCACAACAAAAAAAGCCTATCGTTACTGGTAACAAACCATTTTCTTTAATTGAGATTGAGGATGGAGATTTTACAGTAATTGAAGCCGAGCAATTAAACAAGTTAAACGGCTATCCTACACATACTAGACAAGAACAAATCACGGGTGATGAATTAAACTATCAAAAAGTTAACTTCGCTGATGAAGATGATTTAGTAAAAGTAGACTATCACTTTGACCGAAAAGAATATCAAGCTGAAAAAGTTAAAGAAAGTGAAAATCGTGCTTCTCTTAATGAATTGGCTTTTTATCCAGAAAATTTGCTAACAAAGTAATATTATGCTTGTTTTTCTTGCGAAGTAGAAATTAAACTTAATCAAAGAATATTTAAGTGTTTTAGTTGTGAATTCGAGCTAGATAGAGATATAAATTCTGCTCGCAATGTCCTAAACAGAGCGATAGCAGAAAACCGGTTCGACCAGAACCTTCCTTTGAGAAAATAAGGAAAATAATTTATTAAAAATTAATTGTATGAAAATTGTATTTAGAAAACCAGGGCGAATTAATACTAGCCATGGTAGACAATAACAATAATTCAGAAGAATTTACTAAATTAGTCCAAAGCACCCAAGAAAATAATTTAAAAAGAGATTATTTAATGATTATTCAAGGAGGATTATCTTTTCTTTCCTTTGTTTTTATAGCCTGAAAAGCATACAAAGCAAAAAAACCTAGTCCAAATACTCGTTTAGTGAGAAAAGAAAGAGATATTACTAAAACAGAAATAAATTATAAAAGAGATATAGCCATAGCGGAGATAAGGTATAAAGCGAATATGGCTAAAAAAAAACTAGATTTAGAAGCCATTAAAAGAGAAATGAAACATGAAGTGGAATTAAGTAGTTTTAGAGCTGGTTTAAAAAGAAAAGAAGACAATGAAGCCTTTTCGGAAGCGACTAACTTCATAGACAATTTACAAAATAAAGGAAAAGAACAAGCAGATAAGGCTGTCAAAAATGTCAAAGATAATATTAAGGACAAAATAAGCAGTCTAAAAGACAAATTTCCTATTTAATTGTGATAATTTTTTTGCGAAATATGTCAGGCTTTCCTAAAAATAATTTATAACTCAAAAACCAAGGGCGAAAAAAAACAATTACAATTTTTCGTCATGAATGAAATAAAATCTTTATTAAAAAATCAATTTGATATATTATCTACTTCAATCGCCAAGCAAAAAACTAGCGACACCGCCGGCACTAAACAATTAATCAGAACCGAAATTGAAAATTTTTTAGGTAAAGAAAACTTTGTTAACGGAATTTACAAGGGCGGACTAAACAAAGAAGAATTTATAAATTATATAGAAGAAATCTTTGGTAGTAAAAATCTTCAAAATGGCAAATATAAGGGCGGCAAAGAAGCAGCCTTAGAAGTTATCAATGAACTTTTCGGAAAAGAAAATATCAAGGATGGTAAATATACGGGAGGCTGAAACGAAAACCAAGACACCGCTAATATCCATAAAGTCTTTAAATCCGAAAACTTCAAAAATGGCGAATATATCGGCGGTTGAAATAAAGAACAAGACTTAAAAAATATCAAAGCCAGTTTTGGAGGAGAACAAAACTTTAACGAACAGAATATTTATAAAACCGAAGAGATAACTTCGGAAATTATTGAAAAAAAATTTGGTGGCAAAGAAAAGTTCCAAAACGGCATTTACGAAAGCAAACCGGAAATAGTTAAAGCAGTTGTTGAAGAATTAAGAGCCAAAGGGGAAATTTTAAAAGAAGTTCACAATATTTTCGGATCCGGAGAATTTTATCCTATCGAAGGTGGAGAAGGAGTTCCCCAAGGTCGAGAAGGTTGTCGCAAAAACGCTGAAGAAATTGCGATGATGCAAGCTCAAGAACAAAAGAAAATCCGAGCTATTGAAGAATGAGACGATTTTTTTGATAATAAACATTTTATTTCTGATGCTACCCAAAAGAAAATCTGAATGGATAAATTTCCCGGTAATCCCAAAGCCGCCGAAAATGTTTATAAAGAGGCGATTTTAAAGGGCGAAAGTATTGTCGGCGAAGATTTTACTAGAACCGAGGAAGACCAAATAAATAAAGCTAAAACTCCGGAACAAATTGAAGAAGTTTTAAAATCTATTCCCGAAGAACGTCGCAAAAAAGCCTGAGAAAAATTTTTTACTACCCATGACACCCTAGGCAATATTAAACCGGACTGGAAAGAAAATTGAACCAAAAGCACTTTAAGCATTGAAGTATCTAAATTAATCTACCAGAATGGCTGATATAACAGCCCAAATGGTTTAATTAATAACGATAAAATCATTGCTAATTATACTACCAAAGTATTGGTAATGGGCAAAGAATACGAACAAACTACGACTCATTTAGAAACTTTAAAACACTTAGCCGAAGAAGTGGATAAAGTGCATGAATTTATTGTTAAGCGAATCGAAACTGAAACTAATTTAAACAATTTTCCTGATGATGAGGAAATTAAAGCTGCTTATAATGAAAAGAAAGTCCCTGATACGCGAAGTTGGGGAGAAGTAGGCAAGATTAGAGATAATAAAATAAAAACCTTATTTAAACAATATTTCCAAGGAAATAAACCAGTTGAGGGCTTAAATGATAACGCGATAGATTTGTGAAGAACTGCCCCTACTGGCTTACCAATGACGGGCAAAGACCAACGCCAAGCTTATGATAACGGATGAACTAACCCTAAGGAAATCGCTGGTAGCAAAATTAACTACCAAGGGATTGCCGGCATTGAAGTTTCAAAGATTAATAAAAAAGATATTGATGCGGAAATAGCCAAAGTGGATGCTTTGGTTAAACAAATTAATACTTATCAATATTTAAGAGATTTAGATGCTAACCAAGCCAGTATTGATAAACAGTTCCAAGAACTAAAAACTAACCTTTTACCACCCACTAAACCCCAAGCAGTTAGCGAAGCAATTCAAAAACAACGAAGCAAGTTGTATTATTCTTTAACTGACCCTAAGGATGGTGGAATTGAGGAGGCTACTTTAAAACAATTAGCCGCCAATTTACAAAATACTTGAAATGTTCCTAATTACGAACCAATGACCGTGGCACGACTGAATAATTTTATTGCTGCTGATCCGGATGTGAAAGCACTGGGTCTTTTTAACGAAGGGGTAAAGTGAGAAGATTTAAACACTCCTAACGCTCAACTTTACGGCACAAATGACAAAGGTCAACCTCGTAGTTGATTAAGCAAGCAAGGTGGTTATGAATTGCCGAAAGAAAAAACTAATGCCGAAAATAATCTCCACATTTCCCAAAAAGGAGCCTATTTACTAGACTTTTTCTATAAAAAAAGCAAAGATGGTAAAGGTTATCCCTTTAATCCCGACAAATTAACTGACCCTAACATCCATTTTTGTCAAATTGGGAAAAAAAGCGTCAAGAGATTTGTTAAGAGTGGTTTAATGGGAAAAGTTAAGGAAGTTGAAGAAGTTATCGAAGTAATTGGCGGTGATAAAGGAAACTCCGGGCATTTAGCGATTGGCACGGGAATTGGCAAAACTACTAAATTAATCAATTGTTTAGTAAAAGGTGGGGAAAGACACATTATCCTAGTTTGTCCTACTACCGGACTAGTAGATAGTGCTTTAAAACACCATTCCAGTTGACTCCAAGATTGAGGCTGTGCTTATCACGGTGGAGCCAAAGGAGAAGTCGAAATGGCTTACTGTTTAAGAGGAAAGCCTACTGAACGAGCCACCGAAGAAGAAATTAAAGAGGGCAAGCATGACCCCGAAATGAAATCACTTTACAAATCTCACGGAGGCTACCCCGTAGCCAAAAACGACCTTGCTTACTGGTATAACTCTAACACCGGACAAAAAGAAGGTTTAGAAGAAAATAAAAAAGGTCTCTCTATCATGTATTTTGGCAACTTATTAGGCTTTGCGGCTCGTAACCTTTTTGTTGAAAGTGGCGGAGTGAACAGTTGAAGCGATGAAGACTTAAAGCAAAAAGTCAAAGCAAAGCAAATCCCTAAAGAAGATACGATTGTCGTTTTTGACGAAGCCCATTTTAATGATGCCGGTTATCAAGCCTTACAATTCGAAATGATTAGAGCGGGCTATAACTGTTTAAGAATGTCGGCTACTTTTGCCGGAGCCGAGTTTTCCACCACTTCCTCTTTTCCAATGAAGCGGGTATTCAGTGGTAAATTAGACCCTAATATGCCCGGTGGGTTAATGATCTATCAAAATGCCGAGCAGGTGGAAAAACTGGAAACTATGCGGGAAGTTTCCGTCGGAAGCATTAAATGAATTGATGAACAAACCGGCTTACCTATCCCCATTGAAGTCAGTTTAGAAGAAAGAATTCAAACCGGAACTACTTGGATTTTTGGCAAAAACTTGGAACTTAATGATGAACAAATAAGAGCCTTGGGGAGTAATGTCTCCTATATGGTTTACACTCCGGAATTTGACGAAAACTGTGAAGATATTTCGCACGGTCGTCCGAAAGGCTCCGCCGATAATGTGGATGGGAGTAAAGAAATGGGTTATACTCCCGGTATTGACACCGTAATTTGTTTAGGAGCTACCGAAACTACTAATTTAGGCAAATACTTTACTGAATCAGAACCCACTTTGGGCTTTACGCAAATTTCTAGTTTAGTTCAACAAATGGGACGAGTTTCTCGAATTAAGTATGGTTTAGCGATTACTCTCACTAAAGAGTGTGGAGAAATTGACTTGTTGGATAATGTTAGTGCTGCCATGGTGAAATCCACTTTTGACGGCAACATTAAACAAATTAATGACAAAGAATATAAGCAAATTTACGATGTTGACATTTTGCGAGGTGCTTTAGCCTACCCTGACCCCAAAACTTTCGGCAAAGCCCCCGAAGAAATCTTAATGGGCTTAAAAATTACCAAAGACCAACAAAGCAAAAAAGAAAAATTAGCCAAATTAGTTTGACGACAAGATAATGACACCGACAAAGCCGAAGCCATGGCTAAACCCTGATACGCTTTTATGGCTAAAGACATTAACCCGAGTGAAAAGCTATGAAATCGCTATTTAGGTAAATCCGACAAAATTACGATGGGAGAGGAACAAGCTAAGAACTTACTTAAAGAAATGATTTCCAACTTTATCACCCAAGATAAAAACTACCCGCAAGGCTTAAATTTGAATAATAAAGCCAAATTTATCGGCTCCGTTTTCGGCAGTAGGTTAGAAGCCGGCAAAAAAGAAGAAGTGATTAAAGAAACTCGCACGGTTTTAAATGGTTTGGTAGAAGCCAAAGTGAACGAACAAGCCAGCAAAGATTATGACGAAACTAATAAAAGGAGTAAAAACCCTAATACGATTAGAAAACTAGCCGGATTATATAAATTAACTGCTGCCAAAATAGATTATCAAAAAATGAAAAATGAAGAAGGGAAAATGGTCTGAACGTTATTAATGAAAAGTTAGCACCAACAAAAAAATATATGAAAAAACTCAAATTAAAACAACAACTAAAAACTTTATTAATCGAAAACCCAACAGAGTTTATCGAAACTCTGAACCAAGTTTTTGTCGAAGAATGATTAGAGGAACAGGAGGAAGACCTTTTGATGGTTAATATTTTTGATGCCAATTGAGTTCAAATTTTAAAGAATAAAATCAATAATGAAATTGGTGAAAATTATGTCCAAAGTCCCTCCAAATTCTCTACTCTGTTGAACGTTTTTGCGACAGCAGAAATAATTGGCAAGTCAACCAATAAAGAAAAACGGGAAGAAATTGAAAATAATCCCCAAACATTAGAGGGGGTAAAGGAAATAGTGGAACATTTTGACAAAGAGCAAGGGGAGGCATGATAAAAAATAGTATGAACACAAATATAACAATAAAAGAAATAAATAGAAGAATTGAATTAGCCAAAACTCATTTAGCCGAAATCGGCAATTCGCAAACTTTTCGCCAAGAAATTGAAGCTACCGAAAATTTAGCCAAAACCGAAGGAATTGAAGCTTATTGAAAATTACAAGATAAGTTATCCCAGGAACTAGCCAACCATTTAATCAATTATAAAGGTAGCAGCGAAGCAACTGCTTATTGTTTAAGACTAGCCGATATTTTAAACGGTATCGAAACTCCCGAAGAAAAGTGATACCGCATTAGAGAAAATATTAAAGAATTTTTGACCGGGGATGAGGATATTGCCAAATCAGAGAATTTAAAAAAACTAGCCAATGAAGCCATTGAGGAAAACGCAATGGATGGCTATTATAACTTGTTGAAAAGTTTCAGAAAAAGTTATGACGAATTAACAAAACTTAAAGGCAGTGAAGATAATGCTGATAAGTTTTTAGAACAAATGACAAATGTGGTTCATGATAAGAATAAATGAAAATAATGTGAACTCTATGACAGTATGGCAACTTTTTCAGAAAGAATAAAAAATTTAGAAAGTAGGGTTGAAAAACTGCTTGTTGTTTTAGAAACAGCCGAAAAGGAACTAGACCAAATAGAAAGTAAAAACCGAGAAAGAATTCAAGCCAAAGAAAAGGAATTAGAAGAATGACAAAAAAAAGTAGAAATCTTACAGCAGGAAAATACTAAAATCAAAAAAGAATTAAGAGATAAGGCAAAAGAATTAGAACAATCTGAATTACCCGAAGCGGAAAAACAAAGGCAAATAAATCATTTATTAACTGAATATAATGAGGAACTAGAAAAATTAGATAAAATGCTCTCTGACGAAAGAACACATTTTAGATTAGTAAGAAATAAATTAATTAATAAATTGTGTGAACCGTGCGGAGTTTGTGTAGAAAAGGAGCAAACGACAAAGCAAAAAAATCAGAAGATTAATTACTTATTTGCTACTATTTGAATTATGTTTGCTTTCTTTTTTCTTTTTCATTGTTGGTTTTTCTGATTTGTGGTTCCGCGTTATGTAAAAAACAAATCAAAAAGAATACAAAACTAGACAAAAAATTAAGATAAGATATGAATAGTAGCCAATGAAATTGCTTGTCTTGTGGAAGTAAAGGAAATTTTTCTCAATTTTCTTCTCAGGGCTGATGTTCTAATTGTGATAGTAAAAACTTAGAAGTAAAAATAACCATTCACTATGTTTGTTTAGAGTGTCCTAACTGCCACCAAGTAAAAAATATTGTTTATCATGGTATCTCTCCGGAGGAAAATGAGGTTAATAAGAACCAAGCCAAGCAAAATTGATTAAAAACTGGTGAATGGTGTGTTTGCCCTAATGATTTGGGCGAAAATACTTAAAATAAAATAAAATTAATTAAGGAAGTAAACCATGACTGGCTGAAAAGAAACAAATAAAAAAGACCTTGCTGAAAAACTCGGCGGACAAAAACCAACAAAAGGAAATGGAAATGGAACAGGTTCGGATCCTTCCGGAACAGAAGAAAGAAAAGAAATCAAACTCAAAAGGATGGTAAAATTCGCCCATTTTGAAGAAAACGGGACTCTGTCAGACGAAGCAGATAGAATTTGGGTTTTTACTGGCTATACTGATCATAATTTTCCTCACAAAGCTCTCCAGCACTATAATCAATTTGCCATGGTGGAAATTGATAATGTTGAATATATGGTGCGTTGGCATAAACAATTTGCTAATAGTTATGTTTATGAAGGAGACGAAAAGGTGTTTTCCCTCGATGGTTTACCTGAGGCTTTTGCTCCTTTAATCGGCAAAAGTTTTTGAATTGAAGACACACATTTAATTAACGAGATTAAAAAATATGGAGCGAATTGTCAAGATAAAGACCAAAAATGACTTTGTTCAAATATTTGGAATGTCGATACTTTAACTGGTAAAGATGAAAGAAGATACATGGAACGCGTGGGAGAAGGCACTCGTTGCTTATTAACTGAACTTGACTTAGGAAAGCCGCCAGTTAAATCTAAAACTTCTTCAAATGGGGGTTCAAACAACAGTAATTCAAGTGGAGGTTCGGGCGACAATGGAAATTCAGAAAATAAAGATATTCACTTACCAAAAGCAGAAGAAAAAGAGATTGATGATGAAAACAAACCAAAGACCAATTTAGTAAAGAACCCAAGTAAAACTTTGCTAATTAATTATAAAGTTGTTAATATTTATAAATTGTCCGACATGAAAAAATTAGGAAAACAGTTGTTTCGCACCAAAACTTCTTCTGGTGCTACTATTGGTGGGGGATTAGGTGCTGCCGTAGTTGGACTTTTTGCTATCCTTGGAGCACCCATTACCTTGGGCGGTTCTTTGCTAGCAGGTTCAGCAGCAGTAATTGGCGGTGGTGCTCTTGTTGGTGCTGGCACTGGTAAAGCAATTGGTGCAATAACTGGCGAAGAAGAAAATTTAGCTAACCGCGGAGGAATTGAATTTGGAGTTGATTCTGGCAAAGGTTTAACCGATAAATCTTACCAAGCAGAATATACTATTGATGAGGGAAAAAGCGGAGCCAAAGAACTCTGTGGTAATTCCATTGTCCCTTATATTGTAGAGGGAGCTAATGAATGAGAAGACCCAAGAACAAAAAAATACGGAAGGTCTGCTAATGGAAAATTTATTCTTAATCCTGACCCTAAAAGTGTTTCGGCTAATATTGCTAAACATTATAAAGAAAAACATTGCTACTTTAATTTTCAATCTTATGGTGATGATTTTGCTCAATATTATGGGATAACTCCTCTTAATAATAATCCTGCTAAATACGGGATTAAGTGGCAAGTTGACTTTACTCATTATGTTGGTTGAAGAATGAATGTGCAAATCGGTGATGAATGGGATCATCTTCATTACGATAGCTTAATTAAGGAAGATTACGATAATTCTAGTGGTTTAGCTCGCTGAATTGTCCAAAGCGTGATTACGATGGGAGTTGCTTATATTGGTGGTAAATTATTATCCCAATCAGCAATTGCTACCGCCACAGCATCCGGGCAGAAAGGCGTGGATGCTGCCCAAGCTTATGGCGAAAAAATGGCAGCAAGAAAATACAAAGACAGCGGAAGACTTTATGGTTGAAGACAATGGGACACTGACCGAGTGAATGCGGCTCAAGCTACTATGGACGAAAGAGTATCGTTAGCACAAACCACGGCAGGACTCCGAGCGGGTAGCCAAATGACGCGTGCTGTTGGTCGTTCTTTCGCCGGAGCTACTCGCTTATTTGGTGGCGGCAAAGGTTCTTATACTTCCGGCATTAATGAATTTATTCAAAATAAAGCTCATTTTCCACCTTTACGTATTGAAGCCAGAACGAGCAAAATTTATCGAGAAAGATGAACACGCGAAATGAATAAGCGAATTGCTGATTGAGATTTTTATTTTGGTGATGACCCTGAATTAGCCGAAAAAAAAGATTTTGGCAAATGTCAAGGCACCGGTAGACAAGTTTTTGCTAATGCTCATGGTTGACATCAATTATCGGCAAACACAATTTTCCCCCAAGCCTCTCCTAATCCTTTAATTGATTATATGACTGGTAATTCTGTTTTTATTTACCAAAAGTGTTGCGGTAAACAACCACATGAAAAAACTTGTAAAAGACCGCGTTTGACATTAGATGACTTTTTTAGTGGTTTTGAATGTACTTTAAGCGAATCAATTAGCCGAGAAGGACGAAAAGAGGTCATTGAATGAACTACTACCGAAGAACACGCTACTACTGAAAGCAGACCTGTGCAGCCAACTCTTGGCTATGTTTTTGCTTGATGTGGAAGCATAGATAACTCAACTAATAAAATTCCTTTGGGCAATGGCATAGGAAGTGCAGGAGCTTATGTAAACACTGTTGCTGGTGGTGTTGCTAGGAACGGCAAACTGATGGGACAAGGTAAAGTAAATGAGTCTGGTTGTAAAATTGATTTAGCACACAGCGATGCCGGACTTGATATTTCTCCATTCCGGGGCAGACAATACCACGAAATTTATTGAGGTTGAACTTCTCCTGCTGCTTGCGGAGAATTAGAATTTGGCAAAGGTGATGAAAGTTATAATTACTTAATTACTCGTTATGCTTTAACTGAACCAAATGCCGAAACTATACAAGTTAAAAAAACAGAATCAAGTTGAGTTTTGCGTCATAATCCTTCTTATTATAATGGTGCGGGTGGTTTGGTTTTTGAGGAAAAAAGCGTTACTAGTGAAACCATTCACCACCGCATTGAAAGAAATTATAATCCTTTGAATATTAGCAGTGTTATTTCTTTACAAGGATTTTCGGGTTTAGAAGGTTGAGGGGATAATCCCCCTGATTCTTTTGGTGGCGGCGGCGGAACAGACGTCAATATTCCTTCTTCCTCTGCTTCTCTCAAAGAAGAATTAGGAGGAATGACCGTTTCTTTGCCCCAAGTTCTTGGTCAAGGAGTAGTCATGCCCGAAAGTATCCAAAGTATGTTAAACACTGACGATGTTAAAGTTGATTTGGAAACGCCCGAAATGCCACAAATGGAAGGTCTTAAAGAAGGTCAGCAACAGCAAGAACAAATCTTCCAAAATATCGGCACCGGAGAACAAAATCTCAACACCGAAAGAGGAGGAGTTCCAGCCGAGAAAACCAAAGACAAAGAGAAAATTGGAGAAAAGTAAAATATGAATGAAGAGAAAAAAGACTACAAAATCTACACCTATAATAATGAACTAAAAAACAAAGTAGTTTTTCGCAGTGAATACTGGCAAAATTTAATAGAAAATAACCCTTTGTATGCTCAATTATTTATTGAAGAAGAAGTAGATTTAGATAAATTGCCCACAGGAACACCAACTTCTCCGCCTCCTCCTGGTTATACTGATTGAAACTTATGGTTTATTAAAGTTAAAGAAGAGTTAAGGAGTTTAAAAGAGAGCAAAGATTTAGCCGAATTACAACTCAAACAAGAAAAAGAACAAAAAGAATTAGCAGAGCAACAAAAAAAAGCTGATTTAGAACTAAAAGACAAAGAAATCAAAGACTTAAATGAAAAAATTGACAAAGAAAGAGAAAATTATGCTAAATTACAATCTTTCATTAAAACTTCCGGCACAGAAGCTGGCAAATACAAGGCAATAATTGAAGCCAATAACCAAAAAATTAAGGAATTAGGAATAGCAGAAAAGCAAGCCAAAAGTGATTTGGTTAAAAAGGAAGAAGAAATTAACCTTCTGAGAAGCCAAAAAGACAAAGAATTATTAGTTAAACAGCAAAAAATTGAGCTTTTGGAGTTAACTGGAAAAAATTTAACTACTGACCAACAATCTTTAATTGACAAACACCAAAAAGACCTTATTCAATTACAAGAACTTCACCAAGAAGAATTGGCAAAGAAAAATCGCGTTTATGAATTTACTTGTGAAACAATAAGCAAAGCAGACAAAGAAGTAAAGAAAATTATTGGTGTTGAGTGTTCATCTTGGGAAATTAGACTTAAATTGGCCGGATTAAAACCTTGACTTATTGACGCTAATTTAACTTCTACTTTGGACTTTATCCAAGAAGTTTATGATAGAACTTTTGAGATTGAAGAAGAAATTAACGAAAACCCAATAACTCCTTCTGAAAAAGCGGAATGGTTAAAGAAAATTGAAATAGAATGAACAAAAGCAAACATACTGGTTGAATTGAATAGACTTAAATTTATCAGCAAAGGAACTGTCAAAGAAGTTTTTGTTAAATCTACTATTAAAGCCTTAAAAGATAGTTATTTGGATTCTCACGAGCAATTAAGAGAATTACAAAAATTTGTCAATAATAAAAAAAGTTTACTGGTAGATAACCCTAATTTATTAAAATATTTAAATGGTTGGGAGAAATTAGAAGGTCAACCGGAAACTAAACTAATTATTACTTCCGATTCTCACTCTACTTCGGATTCTGGCACGAGCGGAACCTTAACTCCTTCTATTCCTAATTCTCCGCTAATCCCTGATTGATTTTGGGATAGCAAAGTTTTAGTTAGCAAAAAAGACACTTTAAAGCACACAATTCAAAGCCGATTAGATGAATTTGGTTTGACTAAACAGCAATTTGATGACTATCTTGTAAATGGCAATTATTGATGATTTACTCTGTTCGGCGATTACGGCAATAATCTTAATGATAATGATTATAAAAAACATATAGAGCAAGCCACGATTGAAAGTGAAAAAGACTTTGAAGAACTGGAAGAGCAATTATTATCGGCTTTGACCGAGTTTTTTGTTTATTATTATACTGAAACTGGCTACTTTGAAAATAAGGGAACCAAAAACAAAGAGGCTTTACAAAAATATGTTGCTAAATACCGAACTGAAATTGATTTAAAAGTTTATAAAAACAGCAAGGATTTATTAAACAAAGTAATTAAACTAGAAGAAATAAAAACGCAAATCTTACTTATTTTAGATGGTTGAAAAAGTGGTTTGGGTAATTCTTTTGAGAAAATAGAAGTCGTGTTAGCGACCAAAAATATAGCCGACAATGTTGGTAATCACCAAAAACAAATTAAAGAAATAGAGAATTTGCAGAAAAAATACGACTATAAAAATGACAAACTTGATAATCTTTTAGCCGATTGAAAAGAACTAATACCCGAAGAAGAAAACAAATCAGTTCTAAAATGAGAAGATGTTCACCCCGATTTCGCAACTAATCCCAATTTAATTGATAAATGACAAACTGAATTAAATTTAAGTGTTAATAGTGCTGAAATGTGAATAAAAACGACAAAAATTGAGCCAATGAAAGACACAGAGTTTTTAAATTGATTACTCAATATACAGACTGATAATCAAAAGAAAAAACTTTTTTGAGTAAGGGATAATCTGGTTTCTTTAAAGGAAGAATATGAAAAAAGCAAAACCAATGAATTTATTCAACAATGAAAAAATGACTTTAATGAATTTATTTTTTTAGGAAAAGGAGAAGTCCAAAGCAAAGGAATTGACAATTACTTTTCAGAATTAAAAGGAAAATTGGCAGATTTAGGCGATTCAGAACAACAAAAAGCATATTTTGATAATTTATTAAGCGAGATTAAACCTGATTCAGAAGTTAATGTAGAAGTTAGTTTGCGTTATAATGATATTAAGAAAAAAGTTAATGAATTACTTGGAGAAAAATTAACGGGCAAATTAACCTTTCAAGCCCAAGAAATTAAATTCATTCTCCCCAGTTCTCCCAAAATGTTAATTAATCGGCAAATTGAGATTAAATTAAAGAGCAATAGCTTAGCAAGCGAAGGATTTACTTTAAAAGAAACGGGACAACGCCTGCTTCGCTTGCGGTTAGGGAACCAAAAGGACGAAAACATTTACAAATTTTTACAAAAAGAACTAACTGATAAAATTGATGTTAAAATAACTTTAAATATCCTTGATTCCCACAAAATTGATTACCGAGAAGAAGCCGGAGCCAAAGTAATTGAGCTGTTTAGCGACACCTTTGATAAAATAAAAACTGACCCTTTCCTCATTGACCGCTATTCAAGCCAACTCCACGACAAAATTAGGGATAAATACATTAAAGAAAATAAAGAAATAGATTGAGAATTAGTCCAGCAAGAATGAACCAACTATTCTCACGACAAAACCCAAATATGAGTAAAGAAAATTATTGAATTTGTTAAAAACTTCGCAAATTTAAGTGAATCCGAGGAAAAACGAAGAAACACCGCCATTAGCGAATTAAGAAAAATTATTGGGGAAACAGAACAAACCGAACAGCCGCCAATAATTACCGATTGAACCCCTGTTTTAACCGAATTAGAAACTTTTTTTAAGAATAGACCAACCACTTTACAAGCCGTAATAGACAAAGGCAAACAAATCCGCCAAGAAAAAGGCGACCCGTTAGCCGGAATTGACTTAAAAGGGGCTGAATACAATAAATTAACCACTGGTGCCTTTGGACAAAACACCAACGCCGTTAACGAACTCAAAGAAATTAAAGGAAAAATGGCAAGATTTAGCCAAGCCGACGAAAAACACCCTAAACATTACCGCGTATTAGAAGCCGGCAAGGATGGCAATTGTTATTTAAACTCTATGGCTAACCTTTTAACTGGCGAAAAAAGCCGGGAAAAAGAAGTAGCAATTAAGTTGCGAGTTAGATTAATTCTTGAATTAATGACTAACCAAGACATTATGGAGCATATTTATCCTTTGAATGAAATCAGCAGTTTTAATGTTAGTGATGGAGAAATCAGTGACCAAAATAAATTAGGCTGAATTATTTTCAAAATGACTGATAACCGCGATGATATTGATTCTTCCGTTAGTTCTGATAATCAAAAATGAGAATTAACCAGAAATAAAGCTTACATGTCGAACGATGATGTGAAATATTTTGTTCCTTTCTTAAAAAGACCAATTACCATAATTTATCCTGCCGAGGGTGCTGCTTTAAACAACCAAGATGCCCAGGAGACGGGTGGTTTTCTCACGATTAGTTGTCCGGATTGAGGAGAACCAAAAGAAACTAAACTTTTACAATACGAAGAACCCTTTTTTATTTATCGTTTAAGAGAAGCAGCCCATTTTGTCCCTCTGGTTCGCTTACCAATCCACCAAGAAGGCAGGATTGAATTTGTGGCTCATAAAATAGATTGAAGCAAGCAAGAAGATGATAAATATATTCTATGACACTTTAACCAAATAGAATTTAAAGGCTTTTCTCGCACCACTCAACCTTTTTTGGAGGAATTAAACCCTAAATTAACTGAACAAAAGGCAATTCGAATTTATTTTTCTAGCGATAGTGAATGACACCAAGAATTATTGTCAAAGGTTCAACCTTATTTTGACGAAGAAACCTCAATATATGATGAGAAACTTGGCAGAAAATGAATTATTCAAGTTTGTGATGCCGGGAACATCGGAACACCTGATGGCATTCGGGTGGATAATGGCGAAATTCATTTAGACGAAGCTAACGTGGAAGACGTTATTTTGGTCAAAGGTGTCTCTTGGATAAATAGTTAGTTAAGAGTTTTATTTTTATATTTTTTTGATTGTGCGATAAGAGGTAGCATAAACGGAATTACGTAGACCACGAGCTAAATTAGGCGACTCATAATTCCTAAGCATTTTAAAAAAATCAGAAGGACTACCTAAACAGGCAAAATTATAACGAGCTGACGATAAATAGACATTTTTTTCATTACCATCCAAAATTAAACATCAAGGATTATCAGCAAAAAAACTTAAGTCTAATTCTGCTTGACTTGGGCAACCTATTTGGAGAATTAAAAGTTCATTAAGATTATGTCGTTTGATAATTTCCATAAATTTATTAACTTTTTCAGGCTCAGCAATAAGTCCTCATTCTTCACCTCTTAAGTTAAATTCTATGTATTTGCTTTTTCGATATATATCTAGCAACTCCAACAACTCATTCTTTTTTCCCACTTCCTGATTAATATCTCGCTCTAAATTTTTAATTATTTCTTCGGCTCGGGCTTCGTTTTCTCAAACTTGTCTCTGTTTATCAATAAAAACTTTTATACTATTAGCAATATTGTACGGAAGTTTGCCAAGATTAGGATTTCCACTTCCGATAAACAAACCCAAACTGATTTAACCAGCCAACAAATAGCAGAATTAATGGAATTCAAAGCCCAAATTCAAGCAATTGCTAAAAAAGATTAATATTAAATTGAGGATGTAAAATTTTACTATAATGAATCTCACCTGCTCTACTTGTCAAAATCAAATTAATTGTGCTAATTGCTCAACTAAACCAACTAATTTTAACCAACAAACCAACTCAAATAAAAGCAATGTTGAAATCATTGAACTAACTGGAACTTTACAAAGAAACTTAGGAACCAAGCAAGACAAAAACGGCAAAGAATTCTACTTTGGCACTTTAAAGTTAGATGATGACACCGAACAAGTTATTTTTTTCTTTGACCCAGATTATAATTTAAAAATGAAATTACAAACATTAGATCAAGGAGACCGAATTAAAGTTTCCGGCTTTATTAATAGAATAGGAAAGTTCACAGTTAAAGAATTGACTGATGATGGGTCAGAAATATTTTAAACAAAAAGTGAATTGCTAAAATTATAATATAAGGAATAAACCAGTGGCGAAAAATGGGAGGTTTTTCCATCGCCATTGGTTTCCCTCCCGCTAAAAGACTAAATTTTAGTGGACTTATTATAATAAGTTCATCGGAATAGTAAAATCAGTGGCTGAAATAACATTATATCAGCATGATTGCCCTACAAGAATACTTAATTAGCAAATACTCTACTGCCGAACAAAAAGCCCAAGAAAGAAGTATCATTACTTCACAAATCAAAGAAGAAAGAGAAAAACAAGGAATTAACGAATTATTAGAAGGTGGAGAATTAGATTTACGCGAATTCACTAGTTTAGAAAAAATAGAAATCGACCAAAAACTTTTAAAAACTCCTCTTACTAAATTAAATATTAATGGTTTAACTAATTTAAAAGAATTAATTTGACCGGAAACCAAGGAAGAAACCGAGGAAGAAAAGAAATTATACGGAGAATTAGGAATTAGCGAAGATACCGAAAAGAAAAAATTAGTCAGGGAAATAAGAAAATTAGCCGAATTATGGTCTACTCAAAACAATAAAAAAGCAAGCATCCATTTTGCCACGGAAAAAGCCCCCAAAGACCAATTAAAAGAAGGTATAATGGGTATAACAGAAAATAAGGAGGACGAGTGAAATATTTATCTAAATTTGGAAAGAAAAGATAAAGCGGGCAATTTCTCTCCTAATTTAGTGTTTTGAACTTTAACCCTTGAACTTTCAACAATAGGCGGCAGAGAATTAAGCAAAAACCCTTCTTTTTGAAAACATTTTGACGAACAACAATTATGAGTTAAAGAAAATTTAACCGAGAACTATCAAAAAGAATGAGAATTATTGCTTACTCCCTCTATTTTTCCACATGACAAACTAGAAATGAGCGAGTTATTAGCAGTATATTTTCCTAACTTACAAGATATTTCTGATAGCCAAGAAAGCAAAGCCACAACAAACGAGCAAGCAATAAATAAAACTTGACAAACGATAAAAAAAGAAATTTTGGAACTAGTCAGCCAAGAATTGAACAAAAATCCTAGCGAGGAAGAATTAGAGAAATTACACTTTAAGGCAAAGGTTAATTGTAATTCAAACCAGGAATATGTTATTCAAGTAAATTATAATTCTCAAAGTCCATTTAAAGACAAGATAAAAGAATTAATGATTACTACCCCTTTACAGTCCGAAATCGAAAGTTTACGGCAAGAAAACACTAATTTAAAGCAACAAACTAGTCAATTACCCACTACTGAAAACTTTACTAAATTAAACGAAGAAAAGCAAGAATTAGAGGAGCAAAAAACTTCTTTGGAAGAAGAAAAACGAGAATTAGAAAAAGAAAACGAAGGACTGCGAAAAATTGTTGAACAGGTTGACGAAATGGGACAACAAAAAAAATTAGTTTTAGTTGAACCAATTGGAACTTTTAAACAAAGCGAAGTCGCTATTCAAAGATTACTTGAAAAAACTGAAAAAGAATGACGCCAAGAATTTGAAAATCCTAATCAAAAAACTTTATTGGGTTCAAACCTTCAAACTCCCGAGCGAAAAAGAAAAGCCAAAGAAGTTTTAAAATGAATAATTGAAGCCCAAGTTAACGGAAATTACCAAGAACTAGCGAATAAATGAAATGAGGGCGAAAATTATAACGCCGCTTATGATTTTGACGGCACCCTTTATGAATTAATGGGATACTTGCGAGTGTGAAGCCATACCCAAAAAATTGAAGCCCAACAAATAAGAACTTATGAATGACAGCAATAACATTAAAGAAGAAATTAACATAACAGAACAAACTCCTAACAAGAATTTTCTTAAACAAATTGTAGAAACAAATTTATCAGAAGAGCAACGCCAAAAATTAGGCAACTTAAAAAAAGAGTGAAAAGACGACCGAGTTGAACCAATTAAGACTGCCACCGACCAAGAAAAAATAGAGGCTTATGACAGATTAGAAGTTAAAATTCTACCTGATGACTGACAAAAAGAACTTGCTCGCATAAAGCAATTAGAAGAAAACCAAATAGATTATAATCAAAAAAAGGAAGAACTAAAAGGCTGAACTGATACTTTTAGCGAAAAAAAACCGAATGAAATACAAGAGGAAATTAATAAATTAGAAGAAAAACAAAAGCAAACCGAGCAAGAATTAAACAATTGAAAAGAAAAATTTGAACTAACCGAAAGCCAATTAAAAGAATGACAGCAAACTTTTCCGAATCAAAACTCTTCACAAGTTAAGCAAAAAATCAAAGAGTTAGAACAAAAACTAGCTGACTGAAAAGGAACTTGGAGCCAACGCGAACTTTCTGCTGTTAAAGAGGAATGAGAAGATTTGAAAAAGCGACCAGACATTCCGATTAGCGAGCAAGAATGGTGAGATGATTATGCTCGTCGCAAATCTGTCGCCCAAAATCAATTAGAAAGTGAAAAATTGACCCAAGCCGAAGATAAATTAACCCAAACCCAAACTGAAAACCGAAAGCTAGCCCAAGCTATTAACCAAATTTTAGAAAATTGGCGAACCATTCGCTACATGTTAGCCGAACCAGCTTTAACTCCCGAACAAGCCCAAAAAGAGATTGAAAAGTTATTAGCCAAGACCGAAAAAGATTGAGAAGATTATTTAAAAGGAACAACTAACAAATTAACTCCTTCTCCACGAGAAGAAGTTTTAGCTCTTAATTTAAGTTTAGAGACTGATTTAAACGAATCAAAAAAAACCCAAGCTAGGCAAATTTTAGAATGGATTAAAGAAGCAAGGAATACCGAAGAATATCAAAAATTATTTGAAAGATGAAGCGGCGGCAGTAAATACAATTCTGAATATGACTTTGACGGAAGCTTATACTTGCTAAAAAAGTATTTAGATAAGTGTTCGCAATTATCTCCTGCCCTATAATTATGAAAGACTTAATATACTATCTTATAGTTGCATTGTTAGCAATCAACCTAATATGTCAATTAATTAATTTATATTTTTCCTGGAAAGAAATAAACAAAAATACTCCTAAACAAAATAATTGTCAGTGTAAAGAAAATAATGGATTACAGCAAGAATTTATTAGAGTAGTTAAATTACATGAAAACCTATTAATCCAATACGAAAAAGCAAACAAAGTTGATAACTTACCAAACGCACAAACTCTATTGTCTAATGCGTCCGATAGCAAATCAAAAAAAATAGTTAAAAAATCTTAAAATTTTTAAAATAAGGTGTATGTATGTCAAAAATTTACTAGAAGATATTAAAAAATTAAAAGCCGAAAAAACCCAGCTATATTTTGATAAATTACTTTTACAAGCCCAATTAGACACTTTTAAGAAAGTAGATTACGCTAATTTAGCGGGAAAATTAAAAAAATTTAAGCAAATAGCCGTAAACAAAATTATTAAAGAAGCAGTATTAAATAAAAAAACAATTAACTTAACTTATGAATTATCCAAAGCAGAAAACTCAATCATCGGTTTAAATGAAGATAATCAACGCTTAATTAATACCAAAACTGGCTTAGAAAACAAAGTAAACTCCTTAGGAGAAGAATTAAACCAAGAAAAAATTAATAAAGAAGAATTTGCGAAAAAACTTTTAGAATTAAACGAATACCTAGAAAGACCAACCTCCTTAGCGGAAAAATTAACTATTCCGGCTAGTGATTGAACTCATTTACACACAGTTTTGGAGAATATTAAAAAACTCAGTGAGGAGAATATTTTCGCTATTAATGAAAAAGAGGAAAAAATAAAAGCATTACAGACTGAAAAACAACAATTAGCAAAAGACGAAGCCAGTTTAAAGGTTAATTTAGAAGTTCAAGTAAAATTATTAGAACGTGAACTAGCACAAGCAAAATTAACGGACGAGGAAAAGGAAATAATTGAATTGATTCAAAAAATCCGCGGATCCGATAAGCAAATTATTGCTGAGGAACTTTTAAAAAAATTAAAAACTAAAAAATTAGAAAACTTACCTCATTTGAAAAACTTACCTCTTGTTTTTGTTGAAGCATATGAAGCTATTAATAGAATGGTTGAAGGAATTAAGGAAACAGATAAAGATATGGCTGATTTACAAACTGAAATCCAAGCCGACAAAGATAAAATAAACGAATTAGAAAGAAAAACACGCGAATTAGAAAACAAAGACCGCGACACCATGATTCTTTTACAAACTGCCAACAGCCAGAGAGACGGAATTGCTGCCGAAAGAGATTTATTACAAACCAAAGTAAATGAATTAAAGGATAAAGTTAACCAATTAGAATTAGAATTAAAACTTTTAGGGAATGAACTGGCTGCCCTTCAGCAGCAAAAGAACGAGGCTGAAAAAGACACAAAAAAATCTCAAAAGGATTTTGAAGACAGAATTAAAGAACTAGAAGACACACAACTAACCCCTAATGAACTGAATATTAAACAAACCCTTGAAGAAATGTTTGAAATAACTGCTAATGAAGGAATAGTTAGATATAATATTAGCGAAGTAGAAAGAATTTTAGCCAAATTAAATGCTTATAACTTAAATGAAACTCCTAATCTTGGCAAACTTCCGTACAATATTGCTAATAGTATAAAAGTTTTTATTGATAAACAGAGACAAGTTTGAGAAAACGAAGCCCGAGCCGAAGAAATAATTAAAAATTTAGAGCGAGATATTAATCAGGAAGTGGGAAAAAAGAATGAGTTGTTGGAGTTGCTAGATATATATCGGCAAAATATAGTTTTACATTTCCCTGAGGGCTGAGGGACACTTACTAATCAAAAAACTCGTAAATTTCTTGACCAACATATAGGCAATGCTGCTTCTAATTATAATGGGTATAATCCCTATATGGTGATTATTGATGATTTATATTCAATAAATGACTTTCCGGAAGACATCGGTGATAATCAAATGGTTGGCTGTATGGATCTAACTATGTTTGAAGAAAGAACAAGTTTTTATATTAATAGATTTAAAGCTTATGGTAAATATGGGAAAGCAAGTTCAGCAATAGTCTACAAAAAAAATCAAAACCATTTAATTACCCATAGCCTTCCTAATTATAGATCAATTTTTGTCCCAAACGTTTCAGCAGAACTAGGTCGCCACACTGCCTTTCCTAAATCAGAACGCCCCTTAAACCCCGGAGAAGAATTATTAACTATCAGGTTAGGTTCCCCTTTTGATTAGGTTAAAAATTCCTTATAATGCCAACTCCTAAACCCGATTGACTACAAGCCAAAGCCGAAAGAAAATGGCAAGAACTATTAGCAGAAGATTTAAAAACCCGCAAAGAAAATCAAAAAAACCGAGACTGAAAGCCAAAATTAACTCTTAACCAAGAAGAATTAATTGACAAGGCAGAAAATGTGGCTGAACTAGCACTAGTTATTAGAACAATAGAACTTGGTTTTAGCAACACGCCGCCCAAAGACGACCGAGGAATAATTCCTTTTTTAGCTCTCCGAGAAGTTAAAGAAATTACGCAAACTGAACAACCTCTAAATTACACTCCTGACGAAAGCAAGGGTGAAGAATTTGCTGGATATAAATATAAAACAGAAACTAAACCGGCTGGCTATGTTTTACAGAAAAATGAACAATTAGCAAGCATTAACGAGGACAAAACTTTAAAAGTAAATGTCCCTGAAAAGCAAATTATCAACGTTATTACTTATGAAGACGCTTTGGAAGTCAAAGATTTAAGCAGTTATACTCAATATTTATTTAAACAGCAACTTCTTAAACATGAATTTGACCCTGAACCCTATGTATTACCGAATAATAATGTCATTGAAACTTACCAACAGTTCCAGTGAAATGTCGCCAAAACTAATAGCACTGATTATGTGGTAAAAAAAACCGCCAAATCAGCAGCCGGTTATTCTTTTTTAACCAAGATTAAACTAACTAATTTATGTTCTTTTGTTGAAAAGTATCTAAAACAAGAACCTTTAAGCACTCAAAAGAGGCATTTAATTGAAATCTTTGAAAAACTAAAAATTGATTTAATTTCTCATAAAACTGATTTCTGAGACCGAATTAAAGAGCAAGTAGAGAAACCCATGCCCGGAATTGCTCCGGCTACTCATTTAATCCCCGAAATTCAAGTTTGATTACAAACAGTAAGAGATTTTATTACTGCTAGACATGCCCCTTACTTGAATTATGTTAAAAATTCTGACGGCACCGTTTATTATCCAATGTGTCCTGAAATAAACCTTTATTTATCAGACGTAGAAGCCATTATTAATGATTTAGAAACATTATTAAGAGATGTTTATTATCGCGTAATAAATAATCCGGCTTTATTCAAAACTAATTTAAAAACAAGCATTCAAGGAAACTTGACTGATATCGAACAAGGAGGCAAAAGTTCCGGTATTGACAAAGAAAGGTCTTTTCAAAGAATTCACGAAACAGAAAGCCAAGAACAACCCTTAAAAACTGCTGTTGCCGAAACTAACAGAGAATGGGGCGAATATAAAGCAAATATCTTTAAAAATCAATCGAAAGAAACCACCCAAGAAAATGTCAAATTTGATAAAGAAGTTGAAAAAGAAGAAAGCAAAAAAAACAAGCAAAGAGGGGAACAAAGAACTATTAGCCGAGATGTAGTATTAGACAGCAAAGTATTAGAATTTCTAGGAAAAACAGTAGACAAGTTTTTAATTTACAAAGATATTGGGAAAATATTAGACAAACATTTTTATTCTATGTTTGAACCTTTACCAACGTGGGAAGAATTGGAAGAGATGTAAAAACAATAATAAGGAAATAAACCAGAATGGAAAGCCACTGCGACTACTCAAAATGATTTTATTTGTGCTTAGCACTAGTCTTTGTAATATTAGCAGGATTAGTAATAATTTTTAAGTATTTTTCAAAAATAAAAAAAGATATTATAAAATTATTGAAACACTACCGAGAGTGCCAAGAAAGAATAAAATTCTTGGAAGCCAAAAATGGTAAAGAATTAAGAGAAATTGAATTATTAAAAACAGAAATCACCACCTTAAAAGGAGTTATTAATAATCCAGCCCCAGTTCAGCAAGGAGGCAACCCACCACCACCACCACCACCGCCGTCACCAATGCCAAACAAATTACCGCCGATGCCAAGCAAGGAACAGCAACCAATGCCAAAAGGAAAGAAAAGCCACAATGAACTTTTAAAAGAAACTTTGGAGAAAAGGCGAAAAAAGATAGAAAGTGAGGATTAACCAACAATTAGGAAACAACTAATCCGAAAACAAAACCTTGAATGAGCAAAGAAATTGACCGGAAAAATAAACTAGTTAAGAAACTAAATATTTCTTTAAAAAAGCTGGAAAGAAATTTGCTGACTTACAAAATTCTTTTAGGAATTAGTTTAGGATTTATTGTGATTTTAATTTTTGTTTCTTTTCTTAACCACTAATCAAATAATAATTCCTATAAAGAATATTATCGCCCCACCACCAATTCAAGGTGAGTAGTTAGGAAAATTTGTTGTCCCTGGGCTTTTTTGGTCTTGAAGTTTATCATTTAAGGCTTTTCGCTCATTGGCTGGCTTTTGATTTTGATTTTCTTTGCCTGACCATGCTCACAGTTTAGTTATATGTTGGCAAAAATAATCATTTTCTTTAAGCAAAGTTTCGTTGCATTCTAAACAAAATAATCTTTTCGTTTCATGCGAATTACAGCGAGAACAATAGGAAGGTGAGAATATTTTGTCATTTCATTCTTTTTCGTTTGTATATTCAGGGGGTCTCTCGATAATTTTGGCTTTGCATTTTGGGCAACTAATTTCTAATCTAGCCAATTCTTCCTGAAATCATTTAAGCAGACCATTATAAATATTATCTAAATATTCTTTATTATTTTTGGCATTACCCTCGTTGCGAGTTGTTTTTTTATTGAATCTATCATTATCAGCAAAAGACTTCTTGGCAGTAGTATAAAGTGGACTAGTTTTTACTACTTTTTGATAAGCATTTGCTAAACTAGTTAAATCTTTGCTTGATTCCCTGTTAAGAACACTGATTAGTTCTCCAAGTTGTAGTTTTTCTTCGGCATTTTTCACTTTGTCGGTAAGTTCTTTTTCTAACTTTATTTTTTCTTCAAGTTCTTTTTTTGCTTCTTCTTCCTCTTTTAAAAGTTCGTTTAGTTGCTCTTTCTTTTCCGCTAATTCTCGTTTTTTTTCTTGGATGATTTTTGATTTATCTGTATCAGTTTCTTTATTTTTTTCTGATGAATTTTGTTCTTCGTTTTCGTTAATATTTGTTTTGCCAGCATTTCATCAATCTTTAAAGCTTTGGTATTCCGAAGAGTTTTCAATCATGTTTTTGATTTCTCCGGTTAGTTGCGTATGTTCGGCTACTAACTCTGGATAATTATTTTTATCGCCACTGCTTTCACATTGGCTTCTTGTTTCCCCTCATTCAAAATTATTCACTGTTTGCTGGTAAGCATGAGATATTTCGTGAGCAATAGTTCCTATTAATTCTTCAAATCCAACTAGTGTATAAGTATCTTCGCTAGAAAAAAGCTTGTCCATACCTAATCTATCTAATAAATATCACCGATTAAGCGAAATTGCTAATTTAATGTTAGTTTTGACAGTTCTTCCAGTTTCTTGACCATTGGTGTAACTAGTTTGGGTATTTTGGGAAGCATCAAATTCACAATGACCAGCTCTTTGATTATGTTCTTCAAATCCTTTGAAGCCTTGAAAATCAACTTCTGGATAAGCCTCTTCAACTATTCCTTTCTTTTGGCGAAAGTTTCAATAAGAATCAGTAATAAAGTTGTCAAATCGGGAATGAATTTCTGAATCACTTTCTAAGGATGAAATTAAAGTTTTCCACTGACCATTTTTTTGTTGTTCATAGAAAGAATCTTGTTTATTCATGTTTTTTCTCCTTTAATCTTTTTTTTCTAACCGCTAGTCAAATAATAAGCCCAATTAAGGATACCGATAATAAACCGCCGATTATTCAAGGCATTATTAATTTTTCTTTGTTTGGACTTTGTTGAGGGCTAACTTTTTGTGTCTTTTGTTGTTTTAACTGATTAATAGTTTGTTGAACCTTTTGCGCCACGGCTTGACTAGTGGTTAATTGTTCTAGTTCTTTCGCTAATTCTTTCTCCTCATAATCAGTTATTTTTTGCCGTCGGACATACTCTTTAACGGTTTCTTTCGCTAACTGTCTAGCTTTTTTGATTTGTTGATTATCAATTTGTTTAATGGCTTCAATTTGTAGACTAACTTTTAAATCATTTGCTTTTTCTTTTAGTTTTTTGTTTTCTTCTTCGGGTCGAGAAAAGTCGGAGGATTTATTTTGTTCCTTTTCTAAATCTTTATTAAATTGCTCTAATTCTTTTAAAGTATTCTGAATTTCTTCCGCTGAAACTTGCTCGGTTGGTTTATTTACTGCTCTATTAACTTTTTCTTCAATTTCGTCAACTCTTTCCGAAGAAGTTTTACCGGTTGAAGTTTGTGTCGGTTCTGCCGAAAGAGAAAATTCTGGTTGAAAAGCAGGTTGACTAGCCGTTGGTTCGTCTTTCGGTTTAGGTTCCGAAATAGTGCTTGAATCGCCCCTATCATAACCACTGGTCGCTGTCTCTGTTGTAGGAGTATCATTGCTACCAGAATTTTCATCGCTAACCGAAGAAGAAGAATAACTACTTGAACTAGAAGAACTAGTTGATTGGCTAGAAGTATTTGAGGAAGTAGCAGGCGAATTCGCTTCTCCGCTTGGTTCATTTTGCTTATTGCTTTGCGAAGCATTATTTTCGTCGCTTTGTTGTGAAATTGGATTAGTTGGAGTAGGATTACAAGGTTGAGGATTTACCGGAGGAACATTTGGAGTAGGTTGATTTGAAACTCTCGCAATGATATTTAAATATTGGCTTTTAAAATTTTCAATTTGCTCGCTAGTAGTTAAGCAATTTTTAATATGGTATTCATAAGTTCAAGGGTGGTCGCATTGGCAATTTCAAGGAAATAAGGCTTGTAATTCTATTAATGCTTCTCCCAAGTCTTCTACTCTGTTAATTCTTTTTTGTCGGAGTTGATTTTTTATTGCTTTGACAGCAGAGATTTTTGCTTTATAAGCATTTTTGCATTGTTCGGAGCAGAAAGTAATATAATTGATAACACCGGAGGAAATCCTGCCATATACTACCCCCTTACATTCTTCACAATTTTTTCTATGAAAAAGAGGTAGCCGATCATCATCATTACCGCCTGTTAAACCTATTTCATAATATATTATTTGTATTGTTCTTCCAATTGCGTCTTTTATATCTTCCGCTCTTTCTAATGCCATAAAATACCCCTCCTTATTTTTTTAACAAATTTAAGATTTTGATTGAAATCTCTCTCTCTCTCTCTCTCTTTGTTTCATTTAAAAGCACTTTTGAAAATAAACTTAAACATATTTATAAATTATTTGGTTTATTTCCTTATACAATTAATTTTATAAGGTAGTGGCTAAAAAAACCCGCCCACTTTTCAACTGTTTTTAGGTTAAAAAACTCTCTAAGTCTTTTATTTATACGGATAAAAGCACCCGCCCACTTGTTTGATGTAAAATTTTATACATAAGGAAATAAACCAAATGAACCCAAAAGAGATTTCTCCTAATCTTCCAACTAATCAACAAGAAAAATCCTTTGACTGTAATGTTTGTGATGACGAGCAAGATTTTATCTGATATCACAAAGGCATTGATGACGAAGACATAAAAGAGGATAGAAAAGAAGCTCAACCTCATTGTCAAGAATGTAATCAAATTATCCCTTTTCATTTATTAAGAGGCTATTTTTACCGAATAATTGAAAGTGGAGCATTTTTCAGGCTATTAGTTACCGGCAAAGGCACTGGTAAAAGTATTAACTTAATGCTTTTTCAAGCTTGGTATATTATGAACCACAAAGAAGGACACTTTGTTTGAGTTTATCGCCACAAAGACGATTTATTAGAAAAAGGCAAATCTCTTTGAGAAAAAGCTATTAAAATTTTACAAAAAAAATACGAAAAAAGAATACAATTATTTCCAACTCCTTTTGATATTAAAAATTGAAAAGACAATCGCGGCGAAATAGCCTCGGGAAAAGGAATAAAATATAAAGGAGAAAGAAGAGTTTTCTTTATCACTTTACAATATGCCAACAAATCCGATAGTGCTTTAAGTGGCGATGCTTTACATTATGTTTTTGATGAAGCCATGCCCTCTGACGGCAGACAATTAGAAAATCCCAATGAAGAAGCTCGTTGAGCGCAAATCCTTGACAACATAATGAGAGAAGGAAAAATTCCTGTTATTTGCTTTTTTTTAGCTAATCCACACACCAAAGGCATGTGATGATTAGAAAAATACACCAAACCCCAATGACTTGAAGAAGCTTTTATCAATGACGGACAAAAGCATTATTATGAAGACTTAGTAGATATTCAAATGGACGAAGGAGAATGAGAAAAATTTCCTTGTTCTTTTTATCAAGCACCTGCTGAAAGAGGCAAATATGGTCGCATGTTAGATACAGTGAGAAATCCCCGTCGCCACAAAACCGGAACTTATGAAGAAAGTGTTAACGAGTATATTCATTTGCCAAGACCGAAAAAATGAAAACAATTATATTTAGTAAAAGACTGTATTTATGCCCGAGAATTAAAACAGGGAACAACAAATCACCAAAAATTTTGGTATAAAAAAGGCGAAGAGGAAGAACTAGAACCTGACATTTTACATATATGTTTTAGCCCCGAAGAATACAGTTCTAGCAAAATTACTAATAAACTTTTAATTGATAATTCCCGTGAAATGAAATACTGAATTAGAGACGTATTTTTATGAGGATTAGTTGATAATAAGACATTGCCTGATTTTTTTACTGGTGAAACCGAAAACAAAGCCCACCAAGCCAAACAAACAATAACGAATTTAATTAATGCTAATATCACAAATTTTGATAAGAGCGGTTAAGCTAATTAAAATTAATATTAATATATGGTCAAAAAGCCCAATAAAGAAAACGAAAAAGAACCCGCCACCAATTCAAAGGAAAAAGAATTAACCAACTTTATTCCTCATGCCAAGAAAGAAACTAATGGAGATTTAGTGATTAAAGCCGAAGACATAAACAAAATTTTGCTTTATTTAAAAAGAAAAGCCGAAGCAGAGGAAACAACTAGCCAAGAAGTGAAAAAATTAAAAGATACTGATAAGTGATTGTTAATTGCTAACTTATTAGTATCTTCTTTACAACTGGTTGTTTCTTTGTTCCAACTATTTAAAAATTAGTTATACACTGAAACTAGCATTAATAAATTGTGATATTCTAACTTTTTAATTTCTTCATAAAATTTACCCTCTTTACTTTTTATTATTATGAAAATTCAGTGTGTATTAATTTGGGAGTGTTAGCTTTGACTTAAATGGATACTTTTCTGTGGCAACCAAAACTAGAAAGACATCAAAACATTTCTAACCGGGACGAAAGTCTCGCAAGTCTTCTTAACGGAAGCGAACCAGTTTCAGCAGGCATTTTAAAAAATGTTGCTGTAAACCACGCAAGAATATAGTTTAGGTTCTAAAAGACTGGGTGTCTGCCTGAATTATGTTTAAGCCTTTTGCTTTCTCACTTAAAGCAATCGTATAAATAGGTGAATTAATTAGTTCAAGTTTGTTTATTATCCTTGATTAGTTTCTTATTCTTATACATAGAAAATAAACTGGTGAGGTTTACGTGGATGTTTGCCATTTTTAACATACCAGCTCACAAGATATAAAAGTGGATATGGTTGTAGAAGCAGTTAAGGGTTATTTAGAGGACGAGGGTTCAATCCCTCCACTTCCACCATTTTTTCTGAACTAGCCAGTCAAAAGCATTAGATACGCCTTGGTTGGCTAATTGAGTGAATAATTGCTAAAAATATAAGTAATAATGGCGTATCTAACCAAAACTATTCAAGGTAAATTAAAACCTAACTCTGAAACTAAAAAGCAACTACAATTCATTTCGAAAGGCTGTAATTTTGTCTACAATTGAGCGTTAAATAAAAGAATTGAATGTGATAAAACAGGATTAAAACAACCTCATAAGCATCAACAAGAAAAGGAATTGACTAAACTAAAAAAGCAAAAGAAGTATAAATGGTTAAGCAAAATTTGCGCTGCCACTCTTAATGAAACAGTGAAAAACAGAGTATCCGATGCTTGAAAAAAATATCAAACACACAAAGCGATAAATCCCAAAGCCAAATATCCTCGTGAGAAAAGTGATAATAGATGATATGACAGTTTTTCAATTAGACCACTAGATTACAAAATCAAAAATAATCAACTATTCTTATCCCAAGGAATTTATAACAAAAAAAGGCAACCCAAAATAATTATCCCTTTTAAGTCAACTAATCCTTTAAAAGGAACTCCCAAAACAATAATTATCTCATGAAAAAAGAATAATTGAACTCTAAATATTGCGTGTGATATCAAAACTTCTCCTCAAATACCCAAATCAGAAATCCAAAGACAAGCAGGAATAGACCGAAATGTCCGTAAACTTTTTGCTAATTCTGATGGTTGGAAATGCTGAAATCCTAAATATTGAGACAAGAAAATTAAAAAGATTAAAGCACTACAAAAATCTTTAAGCAGAAAAAAACACAAAAGGAGCGAAAGCGACGCAATTAAACCAAGCAATAACTTTTTAAAAACCAAAGCAAAATATAAGAGATTATGCGAGACAATAAGCAACCGAGTTAAAGATAGAAATCATAAACTCTCACGAAAATTAGTTAATAAATACGACCTAATAGCATTTGAAAAACTAGAAACTAGCAAAATGGTTAGCAAGAAAAACAAAAAAGTCGGCAAATGAACCAGAGATGGCATTCTAAAATCCTGTTGAGGTCAATTATTCTTTTTCACCACTTACAAAGTGAAGGAAACTGGTAAGTGGTGCGAATTAGTTAATGCTTATAACACTAGTAAAAGGTGTTATAGATGTGGTGAAATAAACAAAGAATTAAAAGATAAAGAGATATTTATTTGTCCTAATCCTAAATGTGATAATGTTTTAGACAGAGATGTAAATGCTTCTCTTAATATTCTTTGAAAAGCCCAAAAGAAATTAAAAATAGGAGAGTTTTCTCCGAGGCTAGGAACTTTGTCCGCCGAGTGGATATAGCCTTGTGTGGCTCATGACTAGTCTTTGTGGCTAGTTATCCCACGAAACTCCTTAATAGAGTAGTTCATCTGCCCTCCGAGAGATTTCGGAAGGGGTTTCTTTTTTTGCGGCTCTTACAAGTTTTAGGCTTGCGCGAACCATGTTGTTTTAGTTTTCTTTGTTATTAGTTATTTTCTGTCTCTTTCTCTTAATCATTCATGCCACAAATCCAAATTAGTAGCGGCGGTAATTTGTCCTCGCGGATACTTTTGCTTGTATTCCTCGGTTTCTTTATCCTTTAACCAATCTTTTTTGTTAAGATAATAGACAACTTTGTCGTCAATTAAAATTAAGTAACCAGTTTTTAGTTTTCATTCTCTTTTGGCAAATTCTAACCGGGCTTTGTGGTTGGCTTCTACTTCTGCTTCTCAATTTACTTCATTCATATATTATAATTTTATTAAGTTTATATTAAATATTTATTAATTTTTTAATAATTTCCTTTTATTTTTTCTTTATCTATCCGAAAATCATGTTTGTTTTCTTCTAGTCATTTATTTCACTTATCAATTAATTCTTGCTTTTCTTTTTTTGCTTCTAGTGGTGGTAGTTGAGAGACAACTCTCTCTAACACTCTTAAATCAAAATAAGTATCAGGTGGATTGAAAGAAACAAAATATTTTTTGCTCTCTTCATTTCATTTCTTAAATTTTTCTCGAAAACAAAACTGACAATAAGCTACTAAATCTTTTTTTGGCAATAATCGGCAGGGAATACTCCATCGGTGGGCTCGCCTACCAAAAATACATTCTGGTCTTTCCATTTATTTTGTTTTGCTTCTTTCGTAAAGATAACTTATTAACAAAGCGTCTAACATGTGGAGTGATAACTTTTGTATTTCTCCATTAGGCAAAGTAAAAAATCACCCGCCACCTCTACCAACTTTATAATTCAAGTTAGGCAATGAAGCTTCTTTGGCGTATATTTTATTATAAAGGCTTTTTACTTCTTTCACATAAACAGTTTTGATTTCTTTAATATTAGGGAAAGTATGATTTAATCCTTCAATGGCTCCCATTAAGCGAAAAAGATTAATTGTGTCAAAACCTTTATTACGATTTAAATAATTAGAATATTCATAAATTAATGTTTCTACTGGGTGATTTTTTAAGTATTCTACTAGGAATTGTAAGTGTTCTTGTCAATTAGTGGATTTAAACTCTGTGAATTTTACACTATTTACACACTGATAATAAATGCCAGTAGTTCCGGTGCCGGAAGGGTCAATGGATAAAATATTATTCACTATCGCTTCCTTTCCAAAAATAGCGAACCAAGTAAAATATTCCGCCGATAATCACAACTGCTCCTCCGATAAATCAAAAAGCTCTCTTGCCCCTTTGTAAATCCTTATCGGGTTGTTGTTCTCGTTGTTGACACTTCGGACACTCTTGGTAGAATATTTTTTCTTTGTTTTCTCCTTCGCAAACTCCTCAAACTTTTAAAATAATGTCCTCGTGCTTTTCGCATTTAAAGATTTGAACTTGGTCGCCAAGATTGCTACGGCAGTATTTACAATTATGGGTCTTTCCGTCGCCTCCTCCTGGTTGTTCGCCTCAATCTACTTCGTTGACTTCCTTTTCGCTTAATCACTTATCACAAGCAAAGCAATAGCGGCAATGTTTATTCACTTTTCCTCCTTTTGGTAAAACCAGTTAAAAGATTTAAGCCAGCTTTGCCCTCTTCTAAAATTAATTGATAATTTTTTCCTTTTTGTAAATCTTTTCAAGTTTCTTTGGCTACTTTAAAAGGAAAGACAAAGATATCTCCGTCGTTGTCTACTTCCAAAATTAAGTAATCATTATTGTTTTTATCTTTTTTCTTAATTATATTTATTATTTGAGAAACAATTTCTCTGTTATTTATTTCATTCATATTGGTTTACTTCCTTTATATTATATTTTTAATATTTTTTTAATAACTTTTTATTATAATTTTATTAATCCTTAATTGCTATTATAAAGCCCTTACGTCTCTTAATCTTCACCAACCTTGGACAAATTTTTCTACTTCAAATTCATATTTGCTTCCGGTCGTTATTGAATTTGCTATCTCGTCATATTCTTTGCTACCTATAATTCTTGCTGCGGAATTATCAAGCACATTATGAAACATAGAAATTTTGTCTCCGTTGTCTAATTCAAAGCGTCAATATTGTAAATCTTTAATGCTTTTTCCTTCACTATCTTCACCTTTTTTATATCTTTCTCGGCTTTTGTTTATTACAGTTGCTGTAATCATGTGAGTTTTCTGAGCTTTGACCTCTTTGGGAGTAGTAGTCATTTGTTCTAACTCTCTTAATTCTTCTAGGAAAGCCTTATCAGTAATTATTGCTGGCTCTTTATCAGCAACTTCTTTAATTTTTAATTTTAGTTTCTCAAATATTCCTTTTATTTTTTGGATTTCTTCTTTATTTAGTCAAATGGGACGATTTACTTCCTTCATTAATATAAATTTTAGTCTGATTATAATAATTTCTTTAATGGTGGCGGGACAATCATGAGTAAAACCTACCAAATAATAAGTTAGTTTAATTATCCAAGCAAAAGAGCAATGACAACTCATTGTGAATTACTTTTAGCAATTCAACTCTAACAAACTGTTTGCTTGTGGTCGCTATCAATTTTTAATTGTCAAATATAAAGCCACACAAAAATAAGCCACGGAAAGAACTAACCAAATTCAGCCAATAGTGGTTCACCTTTGCTCTTCTTTAATCACAAAAAAGTAGTTAAAGAAAGCATAAAGACAAGGAGCAAGCAAATAAAATTTGACAATCAAATCTTTAAGTTTAGCAAATCAATTTATATGTAAATTTTAACTAACTAACCCCTCTCGGCAATAACTAAGACTAACCAAAAAAGAGCCACGAACAGCAAATCAATAATCTTGGTTCAGTAATTCAGTAAAAGACGCATTATATTTAGCAAAATTAACTATCTGCCAAGTATTTTTGCCGTCATTGAGGGTTAAAGTTTGGTAGGGTTTGCCACGACTGGTTAAATTTTTTTTTACTTCCTTAATCTGGGCTTGATAGATTTTAATTTCTTGGTTTTCTTTAATCATATCATTTATCGTCTCTAATTCGCCTAATTCTTTTACTATTGCAAGAATGGCAAGTGTAAATATAATGTAAATCATTACCTACTCAAAATATGTCGGTAGCCCAAGCCTGACCACAGCCCTCTACTTGTTTTGGCTTTTCTGGCTCCTTGGTTAAAAAACCAAAAGGACTTGAACGCCTGATTTTCACCCGCTCCATACTAAATATAATCCTCCTCATTTTTTTTAAAATAACTAGCACTCAATAAGCCTAAATGGGTTTTTTCTCAATCTAAAATTTGTGTTTTCAATATTTCTTTTTTTTGATTGATTAAATGCTTTTGCTGCTGGCAATAATTAATAATAGTTAGCAATTGTTCGTGCTGGGCTAAAACTTTTTCATACTCTTTTTCTAATTTTCATTGCTGGGAATGCTTAATAATTAATTGTTTATTCATAAATTACCTCCATATCGCCTGTGGCTTTCCAAATCTTCCCAACAATCAACGCAAAAGCTTCCAGCAAAGATAAAGTTATTTTGCCCGCATCTTTCGCAGACGCTTTTTTCTGGCTGTTTGATTTGGCGTTGGGTTATCTTCTCTCGTAAAAGTTTAGTTATCATTTTAATTTTGGCACAATTCATGGCTTACCTCCCTTTCAACTTGCTTTGTTCACTCTCTCATTTCGTTAATAGCATCTAATTTTTTGCGTCTGTATTTTCGCTCGCTTTCTTGTCAATCTTTCAAATCTTCCAAGCATTCTAATATTTTTTCATTGAGTTCAATTTGTTCTGCTTCGTATAATTCAATTATTTCTTCCCCAATCCTGGCTTTAATTTTCTTTTGCTGGCTTTTGCTTATTTGCTGCCATTTATAAGCAGAATTAATTTTGCTTTGGATTTCTTGATATTCTGTCTTTTGGTTCTTGCTTCCCTCATTCGGGCATATATTCAGTCCCGAAAACTTTTTAATTATATTATTGTTTAGTTCATTATTCATATTGTTTAATTTCCTCTGGTTTCGTTCCTTTTGGGCGAACTGCTTCCCCGCTGATTTGCTTCTTTCCTTGCTTAATGAATTTGATTAATTGTCTGTCTCAATCGTAATTCTTTCGGAATGTTCCGTCGTCAATTCTCGTTGCTATTCCTTCCCTTATTCATTCGCCCAATTCGTCGTCAACAAAACTTACGCCTGAATAAACGCCGCCTTCTCAAACGCTTTCTAATTTTGGCTTAATATCTTGCTTTTGCTCGTCAACTTCACCAATCTTATTTTTTAAAAATTCGGCATACTTGCCTAATTCTCGGTAAATTTTGTGAACTCCGCCGAAGTTATTACATAAATTGTCGGCTCGGTGGTGTAGTTTGTTAACTAGACTTATTATTTTTTTCCAATCACTTTTTTTAATCATTATTTCTTTTTCTTTATTCATAAATTTACACATTTTACACACCTCCTCCGTATTCTTTTAGACATTTTTTACATACTCCATTTTCTTCGTCCAATTTCTTAACCATTTTGCCACATTCGGAGCATTTTGATTTTTCTGCTTTCTCTTCCTCGGTCGTTTCCTCTTTAATTTCGGCTTGGAGTTTTTTGCTTTCCGCACACTGCCAGCAATCACATTTTATTTTGCCTCTTTCTTCGTGATATTTAGCAATTTCAATGTCTTTTTCGTGGGTTTTGCCTTGATTTTCTTGTTCGGCTAATTTGTTGGCTAATTCTTTTTCTTGGCGGGCTTTTTCTCGCCCTCAATATTTAATTAACTTGGCTTGTTGTTCTTGGCTTAAACTATTTCAACTTTTGCCTTTTCTGATTTCATTTTTGGCGGTGTTTCAGTAATCATTAATTAAAGTTTCCGCTGCTTCGCGCAATTTCATAATAAAAACTATGTCTGACATTCCTTTTTGGCAATCTTTCAGCGTTCAGCAAAAATCGGCTCACAATTTTTTCTTGTCCTTATTTAATTCGGTGTATTCTTTAAGCGACATTAAAACTTTTATGTTTTCTGCTTCGTAGAATTTGGCGTTGTTTTCTTTAATTTTTCTTTGTTCTTGCTCTTTCTTCATAGCGTATTTTTGGTTTCAATAACTTTTATTTTCTATGTATCTTTGTTTAAAATACTCCTTACGGTCTTTTTTTAGTTTTGGCGGGCGAATTTCACCCGCTATTGTTAAGTTTAGATTTTCCATTATGCTTTTACCTCCTCAACTTTTTTGCTTTCTTCGTTTCAGTATTTTGCTACTTCTACTTTCGGCAATCTTTTCATAGAAAAAATTTCGTTAAATTCACCATTAAGACCTTTTTTGATTTCTCTGCCTGTGGCGTCAATTTTTTCTTTTTCAGCGTTTACTTCCTTTAAATACCTTTGGGCACGCTCTTTGCTTTTTCAGACAAAATTTTCTTCATAGCGTTTAAAATCTTTATACAATCTGGCTTGGAAATTATAAGCGTGGATTTTATCCAAGGCTTCTTTTTTCAGAGTTCAGGTTGTGTGTCCATTTTTGATACCTTTGATAAAGTAATCAGTTTTTTTTAATATTGTTGCTTGTTCTGTTGACAAGTCAGCAACTTCGTTTTTCAACACTCCGGAGCTTATCCACGCATTATTTTTAATTTCTAAATTATTCATAGTTGTATTGTTTTCCTCGGTTATTTTTTTCCTCTTAAACTTTGAAAATATTGAGGCTTATTCTTGGTTAATTCTTGCGTTTTTTAAACTTTCAAATTCCTCAGAATTGCTTAACTGGTTAATAAGAACCTTGTTTTTTAATATTCATGCTTGTTTCTTTGGTGTGATTGCCTGGTTTACTTCCCAAAGTTTCCTTTTATTGCTGTCATTTCAGTAGGCGACCACAGGGGCAGATTACTGCTATATTTAAAACAAGCAAAGCCCTTTTGTTTTTTTATATTTATAAATAAACATTATTAATCAATAAATAAGAAAAGAAAAAAGAATTTAAGAAAATTTTTTGTTAGCAAGATAAACCCGAAAAGTCGCTTGCTTCTGCTTGCTAATTAACTCGTGAAAATCTCATTTATTATTTCGGTATAAATCTAACAAGCAAGCATTACAAATCTCTTTATCTTTATTTTCTTCTTTTTCCGTTCAGAAACCTCAATTGTTTTTTTTGCTTCAATCTTTCTTGGCAGGAACAAACCTAACCAAGAATTTTTTTTTACATTGAAAACATTTGACCTCTAACGGCTTTTTAATTATTGGCATATTTTTCTTATTGCTTTTACTTCGCAATCAGAAGTCATTTTTTATCAATGCTCATTTCAAACTCCGCGGAGTTGCTTAACTGGTTAATAAGAACCTTTTAACTTGCTTCTGTCTTTTTATCTTGGGAAACAAACCAAGGATTATTTTTTTGCTTTTTTAACTAGTATAGCAGGATTAAATAATAAACCTATCTAATATAATCATAAACTTTTGATTGTTTTATTTTATCAATCTATAATCAATCATTACCATATTATATTTTTATATAGAAACATTACTAATCAATTTTGTTAATCAATAACATTTCTATAATTACTTTTTAGCAACTTTTCTAAATTTTTTATCACTTTTTACACCAGCAAAAAAGTTGAAAGTCTCGCCAAATACGAGACCAAAGCCAATTTTAACCTTTTTAAACACTACCATTTTTTTCCTCTCCCGCCAACCAAAATTTAGCAAAAATTAATCCAAAAAATCACAGCAAAACCTAGCAAAAAAGTAAATTAATCAGTTCTATACTCACACGCACATAGCACACGCACAATTTCAATATTAATAATGCTTAAATCTCTGCTTACGCGCGCACATAAAGGGAAAAGTCCCACCATTCAAGGGAAGTAACGGGCGAAAAACCTCCCAAAAAAACCTTATAGCAATTTTTAATTATACAATAATTAACTAACCATATAAGGAGCAAATAACCACCAATCCAAAAAAACTTTAATCACAAAGTGATTAAAAAAACCCGAGGAAGAACCCCCACCATTTCAGAGAAATGGTCGTTAGCAAGTTTTAGTTGAATGGGAATGAAACTAAAATATTTGCTAACTAAAAACTACTGGGCGTTTAATGTGAATATATGGGAAGCAATGCCGGGAGGCTCATTATTTCGGGAGAAAATAAGAGGGTAATTCTTCAAATTACCCTTTCCTTATTAGTTCCTCTTAAAAGTTCCTTTCATGACTTTCCAACATTCTCATTTGTCCCAGTTAATTTAAGTTAAAAAAATTTTTATTTCTATTTATTCAACGTAACTGCTATTACACCTTATCGAGAAAAGGTGAAGGGGTTCTTGCGGCGCCTTTTTTCTACCTTTTGTAGAAAGCAAGGAAAAAGCAAAAAAATCTCTAACGGAAAGTAGGTTGACGACAAAAGAGCCGATAAAATGGCTTTCCAAGCAAGGAATTTTAAATAAGGGTGTTGAAAACTTTTAAAGGCTATTTTGTGGGTTTTAAGGCTTATTTTTGGCTTTTTCTTTGTTTGTGGTGAATTATTATTGACTGATTGCTAATTTAAGTGATTTTAGAGCAAAAAGCAGGGAAATAAAGGTTTTTTTTGCTTAATTTCAATTCAATTAACTAACCGGCTGTGAACAACAAAACACAGAAATATTCACTTCTAAATATGAGTTATGAGGAGTATCTAAATTTGCCAGTTAGTTAGTTCAATGGATAATTATTTTGCTCTGAAAAGAGCAATTTTTATTATTTTTTTTCTAAAATTATAATAAAGCAAGGAAGTAAACCAATATATCTTCGTTTTAAAACTTGACTGAATCAATAGATAAATGTTGGCGGGTTGACCTGATAACATTTATAATATTAATTTTAATGCTAATTAGATTTTTTTTTCAATTTATAAACAGACAAAATGCCCTTTAAAAGTGCGAAAAAGGCACTAAATTCCCTATTTTTTTTTTTGCTACTTTTTTTTAAAAACAAAACTTAGTTTGACTTTGGGTGTTCTTTGTTCTCTTTAAGTTGCTTAATCTTTCGCAATCTTTTAGCTTCTCTACCTAAGCGGGAATAACTTAATAATATTTTATTTCCCAATGGGTCTTCTTTTTGTAAGCGAGAATTGATTTCTTTTATCCAAGCAATTACTTCTTCCATTTTTTTGTTTTTAGCTGATTTATTACCGGGGAATTTTTTGCCTTCGTTGCTACTTATGATTTTCCTTTTGGTTCAATCTAGCAAGCAAGATTGCCCGGCTCTTCTCTTCATAAAAGTTTCAAATTTTTTTAATTGATAATCAAGTCTATCTGTATTACTCACCATGTATCGCAATGTAAAATTATATTATGGAGATTTTAATCCACAAGTTTTTAAGCAAGGAATTTTAGTGGATTGAATTTCCGCTTTCAAAGGATAGTATTAATTTTAAAGTTAATAGTATGCTTTTCTTCCAATTTCTCATTTGTAAAAAGT